AATGAACTTCTACCGCTACTACTACTACTACTACTACTACTACTACTACTACAACCACTATTACCACTATTTACCACAACTACTATCAATACTACTACCACAAATGTTAATACTATTAGCACACAATTAATATAAATGAAACCCATGCTTGCTAACTTCAACAAACCGCGATTAATACCACCACTACCACTGTTACTAATCTAACTACTAATCAGCAAAAAACTGCAGTGGTAGCCACAGACGTCGCGAACTGACCGGCTACAACTACTTCATGAGCGAGTTCTTGTGCAAGAATAAAAACGCCTACAAAGACCAGAAGGAAACATTTAAAGAGGGAACAGTGGCCTGGAATAAGTAATGATGACGACAATGGTGACGTCACGATGACGTCATGATGATGATGATTATGATTATGATTAAAATGACGTCACGATGGTAACGACGATTTTGTGACAATTATGACTATAGTTATAATTATATTATGATAATGATAATAATAATGATATTATAATAATTATGATAATTAAGATTGTGACGATGATTGCAATGTTGGTGACTGATGATGACATCGCATTGATGATGATAGCGATGAAGATGACGATGATTACGATGACGTCACGATGATGAAAGATTCTAAATATTTTTCAAACTCTCAAAGCCTAGACGAGGCCACCAAAAAATGTTGGGTCAGGTCTGCGAAGAGAAATTGCAGATGAAGATGATGACGACGACTATGATGAGGATGGAGATGATGATGAGGAGGAGGAGAAAGAAATGACGTCACAAATGAACAAATAGCGTACATTTAGTTTTTCCAAATATTTGGCTTAAAATTGAATCTAAAAAAAAAACTCACCCAAAAAACGATTGTCTTATTTCTTTTTCATACAGGAAAAGGAAACTGTTTTACAGATAACGATCTATATATTATCTTTTATTTTTCCATTTCAAAATAAAAAACCCAAAAATATGAATTAGAAGTATTCATATGTTAATATCCTAGAGATAATAACGTTCATTCGAACCTGTTTCAGCAGTGTTATATAACTATTATTATTATAATAATAATTATTTTTATTATTATTATTGTTATTATTATTATTATAATTATTATTATTATTGTTATTATTATCCCTATTACTACTACTGCTAGAGCAACCACTGCAAAAAATACTTAAAAAGTTGCTGGCAATACTTTTAAAGATATGGCTAAATTACTTATAAAATGCTTCCTTCATTGCCAAATATATGCATCAGTATTTGCATACACACATTCACACACACATATATGAATATACACATATACATATATATACATACATACATACATACATACATACATACATACATACATACATACATACATACATACATACATAC